AACTCCGGATTCCATGAGAGCCATGTCAATCCAGAATGAAGCCTCATGCATTTAAACTAGTCAGGAGCAACCCTTCGACAAGCAGACACGTTCTACTTCAGAGTCCAACAGGTAACTGGGGTTCAGGAGTTCTGCGGCTGATTCCTGAGATCAGGTGGACCGTCTGCTACTCTTCTGGCAGGAAGGTCTGTTGGTATTTACAGCTCAGTGAACAGTAAGCAGGGAGAGAACACCATCCATCAGCAAAGGAGAACTCATCTGCTACTTGATCTGACATTCTGTTTGTGCTCACGCGGTCTCCAGAGAGCAAGGTGCATCCATTTGAATAAACATGGAGATAAGAGGAGGGGGGAAGGGCAAAGCAGCCAAAGAGAGGACTGCAGAAATAAAAAGTAGGAAGAAGAGCTGCTCTAAGAAGAGTAGCTCTCCAGAGTGCTGCCTCCACGTGGGACCACGTGGGACCCTTCGGGGATGTGCAGGAAGCGCCCTTTTAGACAGCTGCCCTTTACAGAGTAATGGCTGCAAGCGGTCATTCCCTTCCACACATGACTGCCACTTAATACAGGCGCTGCACGGCAGTGTGCGGAATGAACACGGGCTTGCTGTGAACCTAAGCTACAAAGGCAGAGACACCCAAGTTACAAAGGCAGGGTCAGCTGGTGGGAGGACACCTCCAGCTTTTGGTGGCAGGTGACGTCTGAAGACCCCCTGCCCCAGCAGGATGGGGTCTGTCCTCAGAATCAGAACCTGCCGTATGGGCTGGGATATTTGTATGAGAAAGGACGTCTTCACTAGGCAAATCCTGCCATTTGTTTTACAGTGGCACCGAGCAAGCGTTTTGGGAAAAAGCACACACCCCAAGAGTCCCATTTTACTGTGTCCATTTATTTATAAAGCCAGCAGCTTGCAGGCCACACCTCAGTGCCACCTTCCAACTCTCTGTCTTCCTAAAAATCCACTTACTGCTCCAGAAACAGACAGCCTGAGTGTGACATCACAGACAACTCAACACCTCAAATGAGGGTGAACTGTGGTACCTACAGCAACTCCACGAGTTTTTCGTTTTCATCAGGTAGGTAGCCCTAACAGTTGTCACGGCGCAAAGTGGGAAGTCCCTTAAAATGATATTCTGTTGCTCCCACACTTCATAAAATACGATTCTTCAGGAGAGCTCTTTGTAGGGGTTTTGATAATTAAATAAAATTAATACCTCCTTTTAAAATTTTGATTATTCTGAATAAAGTGTCCCACGGATTGCAGAAATGATGAGGCCATATTGTAAGTGAGGTCCTGGCCTCCTAATGAGCAGAATTATGTAAATACCATGTATTGAAAAAGGTCACTGATTACTCATGGTGTGTGTAAAATTTTGTTTATGCTGTGTCAATGATCGTTGTTTATTTCTCAGTACTGAAATGTTGTCTGACACAGAGCTCCCAAAGGCTAACTCATGATCACCTATGCAAAGGAAACAAAACAAAACAAAAACACCCCAGCAAGCTATGTTCAAAAGAAACTTTTAATCAAGTATTAAGGATCAGGCTTTGAAAATGATGGTCTAATCTGTGGCACCTCTTAAATGGACGGAGGTTTCCCACTATAACATGCATCAAGCGAAGGAATTTCAAAGGTCAGTCTCCCTGCAACGTTCTTAGCCTGATGTGGGTGTTAATACTTTGTTCTGAGCAGCGTCTACTATTCAGTCCTTTGTCATATAACTTCACTTACTATTTATATATGGAAGCCTATTCCTTCCAATCAGTACGTCACAACACACAGTTGAGAATACAGGCTCAAAGGAATGGCTCTTTGCTCTTCTGGAAACGCTGATTTAAAAGGGTCTGGAGAAATCTGAATATCAATATTCTTTCTCTCAATCCAACAGGAGCTATTAAACCCCAGACCCCATTAGGAAATCATCAAATTCTCACAGGGCAATCACCCATGCAGAACTCTAATTTCATTATCCAGGTGAAATAAAACAGCATCTAAATTAATTCATACATATAGCCTGATAGCTTGGTCACCAATCACACTACACAGGGAAGTCCAAAAGTGCTTTCTGCAAATGCCACCCAGATTTTTGGGCCCCACCCCACCCACAGTACAGGTCTCCTGACTCAAGTAACTCTCAGTCAAGTGGTGATTGGGAAAATCATCTCTGCAAGGGAGGACTCAAAAGAATTTGTCACTAGGATACAGTGACACCAATCCCACATTTTGTGGTTAATAAAACAAGTCCTGCATCCAGCTTGGCACAAGGCCCTGATCTGATTTATTTTGAGCCAAGCTGGAGGGCTCACAGAAAAAGCTACCATTCATGAATGCTTCAGGAGGACAGGATGGCAGGGTCCCTTGAGGCAAAATTTACATGGCCAGAAATCTTTTTCACTGACCTTTTGAACAAACCTAGCCTATTTCCTAAAGAGTTGGTGTATTTTTAAAAAAAATTTAATAGTTTTGCCTACAGAATCTCAGTTTTGTCTGACATTTTTCTCCAAAAATATGTCCTGTGGGAGTAAGACAAGTGGGGAGTAGGGGGTACAGGGGGAAGAGAAGAAATGCTCTGATATCTAATTTAACCATCTCAAACATCAAAGGCTTGACTTTTCCCCCCTTCTCAGTGTAACTAAACATAAGACACATAAGACTTTCCCCGGAAAAGCCTACATGCAGCCTTCATTTAAGATTTCCTGCCCCAGTATATAATTAGGAATTTTCATTCTAAAATGGCACACCTATTTCCTCGGAGAACTCAGCTCTCTTTGAATAAAAAAGGCGACGTACCCTTTGGGGGACTCGGTATGTATTTTTAAACTTCTTATTAAATCAACCTAATTTATGGGACATGTTCGGGGAAAAAAAGCAGGTAAGGAGTTGCCTTGCTGGATGGAAAGTTAATTTGCAGACTCCCCCCACCCCCTTCCCCGAGCCTTTCCGAATGCCTCCGGCCCCCTCCGAAGCAGCTCGGTTCTCTCCGCCAGAGCCCCGACTCCGTTCCGAACACTGCCGAATCCCTCCGAGCCCCGCGCCCAGTCCGCACCGAGCCTAGCCGAGCGCCACCGAGCAGAGCCCCATCGACTTTTCCGGCCTCAGCTGGGCGCTGTCCACCACTCGCAACGCCTGAAACCTCACCCAGCCCCAGTGGCTGGGGCTTCTAGCCGGCTTTGACGCCGCCACTGCAGATTACAGACTTCAGAAGTTTTGAAACATCCCCCTCTGAGAGAGAGGGGTGGCGCTGCTTGCATTTACCAACCTGCAAGGGCTCCAGGCAGATGCAACATGCACCTTGTTGCAAAGAGCAATTCCCCAGGCCCCGCCTCCCCATCCATTTGGGCTGCACAAGCTCCAGAGAAGCCCCAGGCCAAATTACCCTTGGCTCAGAGGGGTGCGGCGAGCCGAGGGGGCCTCTGCAAAGAAAGCCCCAGGGAGCTCTCGAACGAAAATAATATGTCAGGCAGACGTGGGGGAACTGTCTCTCAGTCGCTACTCCCTACCATCATGGCGCCGCCTAGAACCCGCTTGTCATGCCTGTTACACATGCAAGATTTTTTGCATCTTGGTTCTGAAACCGCAAGCATGCTTCGTCTCCCACCCACCTTTCCGCGAAAGGGGTTTTTATTTTCCATTGTTTTCCTGCGGGATGCAATTACTTCAGCTATTCTGTCAAGTTGAAAAATAATCATTTTTGTTTACTGCACAGCAACCCCTAATTAGGAGCTGTGTGTGCACGAAGGTGTCACAGCAAAGCGACGTGGAATCCTCGCTAAACGGTCTTAACGAACTCCTCAGTCCAGAACTGACAGCCCAACGGAAGCAGCAGGGCCAGGAGGCCGTGAGGGCGCACACCCCTTCCCCGCAGGCCACCCCCTCCCAAGCAAAGCTTCCTGTGGGCTCACCAGGAATCCCCGAGTGGATGGGGCAAGAAGCAAGACTGAGAGTGGAAAGGAGGGGCGAGGCTCTTTACTGAGAAAGTGTGGAAGGAAAGGAATATCCCATTTTGTTTAAATTTTCAACCATCACTCAAATCCACCCCCAGTTAATTAGGAGGGGAAACTGATATCTTAGGCAGAAGGGGGCGGCAAGTGGGGCCTGAAATCCGCATTGTGGGTACATTACAAGGAAAATGGCCTATGCAGAGTGTAAATGAATACATTGATAAAGGCCACTGAGTGAAGGAAAATTGCCCCTGTCAGAAGAGCCAACGCTGGGAGGGTGGGGGGTTGAGGGGGGCGGGAGTAAGGGACTGCATTCAGCCTCAAACAGCATCCCTATTCCACCTCTGCCTTGGATACAGCTGTGCCAGTCACATCTGCTTGGAAACCCATCTCCTTCCCTACCACATACCCCTTCCCTACCACATACCCCTTCCTAACCCTAGTCCTTTTGGTGGGGGCGGGGGAGGGGGGGAGAAACCACAACCTCCAATTCAGCACCAAATCCCTGAACAGCAGACACTTGATCCTCCACCCCAGCCTAGGGCTGGGTCCCCTCCATCTTTTAGTCAAGTTCAAAATCACTGCCCCGGTAGAAGAGCAGGGGCAAGTGAGATTAAGGACGTGGAAATGGGGCGGGGGGAGGTGGAGGGAGGAGGGGAGAGAAGTACAGAATGAAACAGAGACAGAGATAGAAATGAAGGTAGTGATACACCCAAGAAGAGTAATGATCATAATCATGCCAATAGTGTGATGTTCTGATCAATATGGCGGACACTGTCATTCATACAACTACAGGCGCTCCATTTCCCCCCCCCCCCCCCCAAAAAAAAAAAAAAAAAAAAAAAAAACCCCCCCCCCGGGAGGGGGGGTGGGGGGCCCAGAACCAACGTAGGGCATGGGGGAGGGGGGGCAAATCCAGGTGTGTGTGTGTGTGTGTGTGTGTGTGTGTGTGTATGTGCGAATCAGAAACCAGGCCTGGAGAGCAATGTGGAATGAGCAAGGTAATACAAATGACAAAAAATTATTAATAAAAGTACAAATCCCAAGACCACAGGGACTTACTTCATCTGCTTCACAATGGTGCTTTTTCCTGATTCTCCAGCCCCTGTTGGGACAGACAGGGGGAAAAACTGGTGAGTGTCAGCTTAGGGGAAGTGGGGGGGGGGGGCATGGGGGTAAGGCAGGCGAGAGGGTGGACGATCCTAGGCACACAGTGGTGCCAAATCGGGGACCAGGTCTTCCCAAGCACGAATAGGGTGGGAGAGCGGGTGGAGGTGGGTGCGGAGTGGCCGGGGTCGGGAGAAGGGGGTGGCAGCCCCGGTCCTTACCCAGCAGGAGTAATTTCACGTCTTTGGCGGCGCTGATGCCATCCTCTTTGAGGTTTTTCTCAATCGCCTTGCTCCGCTCGAGGGCGGCTCTCTCCTCTGCGCTCAGAGTACATCCCATGGTGGCCCCTTCCCTGCCACAGCCCGCACGACTCGGCTGGCACGGCTCCCCGGCTCGGCGCGCCCCCCACCCCCCCAGAGAGCAGAGCCTGGGCTCAAAAGGGGAAAAAAACCACGATATCCTTCCCTTGGCCGAAAACAAAAATGTCGGGAAACCAGAACCCCCCAAAAAGACAGCCGCTAACAAGATTCCAGCGCTGAGGCTCGCGGCAGCTGGCGGGCTCTAGGGGTGTCGAGGCGAAGGTGGCCGGGGTCTGGGACTCCGGGGCCGAGGGAGGAGGCGCCCGCGGTCCAAGGAGGCGCGGGCTGCAGGCACTGAGGCTTGTGCACGACCCAAAATAAATAAAATAATAGTTGAGGCAGAAGCCGCAGCCGGAGCCGGCGGAGGGTGGGGTGGGGGGCAGGGTGGGTCCTTCTGCCGCTGCTGCCGGAGGAGGAGGAGGAGGCGGCGGCGGCGGCGGCGGCGGCGGCGCGGGGTGTGGAGGGAGTGAGTGAGGGGGTGCTGCTAGTGCATGTGCATCGCGGGTCCTCAGCCGACGGTGCGTCCGCGGCGCCTTCGCCGACCCCCGCGCGCAGGGCAGGGCTGGGCAGGGGGCCGGGCCGGGGGGGCAGGTCTCTAACGGGAGGCGGCGTCGCTGTCTCCCAAAGCTCGCATCGCTCGGTGGAGGCTACCGGAGAGAGAGGGAGAGCGCGAGGGAGCCGCGGGCAGCGGGAGCTCGAGAGGGAGAGAGAGAGAGAGAGAGAGAGAGAGAGACTGGAAGGGAGGGGAGAAAAAAATGAAGGGAGAGCCAGCGAGCGCGCGCGCCACAGCCTGGGCGGGGGAAGGGGGCGAGCGCAGCGCGCGAGTGCGCCAGCGGCTCTGCGCACCCCGCACCGCAAGCCGCCCGCTGACGTCAGCAGGGCCGCGCGCCGGGCCCCCGGGACGGGGAGGGGCGGGGGCCGGGGGAGGCGCGCGCGCAGGGGACCGCGTCAGCTGGCGGCGGCGCGCGCGGCGCTGCCTCTCCTCCTTCCAGCGCCCCCCGGCCCGCGGCTCCCCTAAGTGGGCGCGTGCGGGGCCTGGAAGGGGGTGGAGCCTGGGGCCGGGCGCGCGCCGGGGCGTCCCTCCCCGCCTCCGCCCCTGCCCTCGCCCCCGCCTGGCGCGCGGGCGGCGTGGACCTCCTGGTCAATGGGAACGCGGGACTGGGCCGCCGGCTACGCGGTCAGGTGGGCCCCCCAGCTCGCGCCCCGCGCCGCCTAGTCAGCTCTCCGGCTTCCGCTCCATCTTGGCTCTGGTAGCTTGGCTTCTTGGTTTCTCTCCAGCTGCCGGGGCTGTAGCAGCCGGGACCAAGTGACCTCAGCGAACGCGAGGAGACAGTGGGTCTGAGCAAACCCGCGTTCCCGAGAATTCGCCGGGGCGTGGGGGCAGATGCGAATTGTCCGCTTCCGCGACCCACGAACATTAACTGAGCACCTAGTATGTGAGACAGGAAGCTGTGAGGAGAGGAACACATCAGGATGAGACAAAGCCAGGGCCTGTTCTCAAGGAGCCTCTTCCTACCCGTGCCGTCCTGGACCCTGCTCCGAGATTCCCGGCCATAGGTATCAGCCCAGCACACAAGTCCCACCCTGTGAAGCTTTCTGGTTGGGAGGGACAGGTTTTCCTGAGCTCCTAGCACATGCTTACGCTCTACGCAGAGTTTAAACGCTTTTGCTCATTTTGAACGGTTTAGCTTGGTTGAAATCTTTGCATTGAATTCCCTTGTCCTGCCCCTTCCCCAAAACACAAATACGTAAAATAAATTTTAGATTTTTGGTGAGAGAAGAGATTTTCTCCCTTTTGTCAATTTTTAGAACACTTTTCCCCTCTTCTTTTTTCCAAATGAAGACCCAGAAACCGGGGTCAGTTATTTAGCATGCAGCTAATCAAATACCGAGGAAACACGTACATGTTTGCCAAAAATCAGGCATGTTCTGGGCGGTCGGTCTCTGAGATTTTGAAAAAAACTAGTTCTCACTGCACAAAATGGTTTTACAGTTAGTTCCCGCAGACAGCCCCAGGGGCCCTCCTAGAGAAAGGGGCCAATAGGAAAGGTTGCATGGGGATAGGACAGGCAAGAGGCCAGTGGAAAACGTTTTCTCTAACAGTTGGGCACTTCTGTGACTCTGAAAGCAAACTTGTTTGTTTCATTTCAACAATAGAAAAAAGCATTCCTGTTTTGGGAAGTGTTACCCAGCATAAAAGTATATTTGCAATGGTGCTTGGGTGGGGGGGAACTAGTTAAGGCCCACCCAGAAGAAAACATTTTTTTCTCTTGAGTTTTTTAATGAGTTATTTGTCTCTTTATATAAATAACTATGTCAAAAGTTGTTGTAATGCAATTACAAATTGTTGTAATGCAATTTGAATATTTAAATTTGAATCATATTTTACGTATTCTAGGAAACCTACAAAGGGCTCCTAAAGAATTTGTTTTATAAAATAAATAACTTCTTTGCTACCTCTCCTGACCCCGTCCTCTTTTGGTGTGTCTCTGGGGAGGGGAGCTTAAGGGATAAATCTGGTTTGCTTAAAAATCAGTATGTCACTAAAAATCAGCCTTTAGTATACAAAACAGAGCTTGGGTACCCAACATTCTATAGAATCTATTATTTCCTCTACAGGTTGCTAGGATGATTATGCAGATCTATCTGATAAAGGGGAAAAATTCAGCAACTTCACCCAGCTTCTGCTATCTACACGGCCGGCTGCATTTGAAAGACCAAAGAGGTAAGAATATAATCGTTTTTTTGAAGATAATGGGTCAGGTCAGTCTTACATCTTAATACTCTTTCACATCAGATAGTTCTTAAGATGTTAGTCTTGTGGGGAATTGTTAGGAATTTTGGGGGAATGGGTAAATCAAACTATCCTTGCTTTTAGTTATATTTATCCTTTCTCAGTATTACCTTTTTTTTTTTTTTTGGTGTGCATGTTTTATTTACTCAGTACTTACTAAGCACCTATCTGTCCTGCCCTCGGTAAAGTTCTAGGCACTACAGATGTAGTACTTCAGGTTCGTCTACATGTTTTCTTTTTCTGGGTCACTTTGCATCTTTATAACTGGACTTCATACAACAACTAATAATAATCCACTTCATCTGTATAGTGCCTTACAGCTCATAGAACACTTTTGTAAAACTTATCTCTTAGGATGTTTCCATGTAAACCTCAGTTAGGCATTGTGCTGTGGGAAATGGCATGGAGGAATGGAAAGAGCCAGGGTTATGAATGCAGATCAGCCTGGGTACCCATTTTACAGTTGAGAAAACTGAGTCTCTGAAGGGGCGAATAACTCATTTAAGGTTAGGCCATCATTAAGTAATAAACCAGAGCTCCCTTTATAGGTTTGTGGACTATTTGGGCAATAAAACGTTATATAATAGCCCCAGAACCCACACATATTTGCCCCCTCAAAGGAAGTGAAGATGACAACATCCCAGTTGTCTGTGAGCTATTAGTAATTAGATAATACTGCAAGTGTTTAATTTGTCCACAATTAATTCCTGTGGGAGTGGGGAAATTACAATCCTAACATCAGGAATGATCAAGGACAGATTCCATTTGCTTTTATTTTGTATGATCCCCAGAATTATGTTTCTCTGATTATTGCTTTTGGCCAAAGAATCGTGCGCATTTACCGAATCCTCAGTCTACTCTCTCCCTTACCATATACACACACTATTCAGCATATTTTAAGTTTTAAAAGTAGGTAATTAGAATGTTCTATATACTCTCTAAAAGGGGCAACAGTAAAAGCCTACATTAAGTTGCGTTTTTACTACATGTGGCTCTTAATGCTGGAGGACAGGAATTTATGATACCTACAAGACTCCCCAGTCTGACTTATAGAATGCGGGCTCTGATTAGATGAGCTGAATTTCCCTATTTCTTCCCATTTGTGATTACCTTAATTAAATATGCATATATTGATAATCTACTGTGTTTAGTATGTTGATTTAGATTCAAAGCAAAGTTTAGGTAGGTATAAACTTGGATTCTTGAAACCCTAGGACTGTTTTTTTCAAAACCATTCACATCAGAATTCACTGGGGTGCTACTTAAAAATTCAGTTACCCGTCTTACTTCTATGGAGTCAGACTCCTCTGCAATCTGCATTGATAGCCACTCCCCAGATGACTTTTCTGTACAAAAAGTGCTAGATCTTGTACAATATACAGAATCTGTATGTGCCAATTAATTCTGCTAGGAGCTTACTTTTTAAAGTTCAAATATCTCACATGTTTCTGAATGCAACTTTATGTTTACTAGTTTTTTATATTTTTTGCCAAAGGAAAGGATTATAAAAATTGCTCTTCCTGGGGCACCTGGGTAGGTCAGTGGGTTAAAGCCTCTGCCTTCGGCTCAGGTCATGATCCCAGAGTCCTGGGATCAAGCCCCGCATTGGGCTCTCTGCTCAGCAGGGAGCCTGCTTCCTCCTCTCTCTCTGCCTACTTGTGATCTCTTTCTGTCAAATAAATAAATAAAATCTTAAAAAAAAAATGACTCTTCCTTATGAACACCACTGTCGTGAGAAGAAAATAGGCTAAAACATGTGGTTCATGAACTAAATGAATCCATACTAATTGTCGGGTGAATTAGGCATTTTAGGGAGAATCATAGATCACTAGAGATTTTAAGCTTGTGCACTAAGGGTTTCTATTATGAAATTGATAACTCACAATTTAACTTAGTGGTCAATATAATTTGGGAAAGTATCTGGGGTTGGGCTAAGAGATGACTTAGTGTTTTCTGGTGGATATCTGGCATGAATGAAGGAGATGCCTTTTTTTTTTTTATCAAATTTCTATTTATATCCCTAGAGGACAGGCCCCCTTATTTAGTCCCTATTCAACACTTTTCTGATATTATTTTGAACACATCTCTCACAAGGGTTCTCAAATGTTAAATGGTGCTAAGAGTTACCTGGGATGCTTTAAAAAAATGTGGATTCCTGGGTCCCATCCTCAAACTTTATCAATCAGTAGGTCTGAGATGGGGCCTGGAAATGTTCATTTTTATAATCATACCTTCACCCCCAAGTAATACTGATGCACTTTGGGAACCACATCACTGGAAACACGTTAACTCCTTTGAGGTGAGGGAGTTGTCCTATCACTTTGTGTATGTCCCAAAAGGTCAAGCATGGCCCACTGTCCACAGGTTATTAGTCTTAATACTTGTAAATCACATTCACATATCTATAGGCAAGGGTTAAATCAGATCACTTATCAAAGTTCTCCCCAGCTCTGAGACTTTTTGATTTTTCTAGTAGAAATTTTGTGAATTGATGATTTGGGAAGATTTTTAAGATTGAGTAAGTTTTTAAAAAGGTAGTGTCTTTTTTTCAAGTCAGGTTCTGAACACTGAAATGATACTGAGTTTAAATAAATAAATGGGAGATTTATTAGTATTTGGAAACTGGTGAGAAGAGAGCATATGCTAAATGTTTTTGAAGCCCCATTAGAAAATTCTTTGCTAAATTTTGTGTCTTGTTTGTTATTTTGTAGAGTTCATGAAAAAAAAGTTGTTTCTTTATTTCTATTGTTAGAAATAAAAGATGCTATGGGAAGAAATAAAGGGTTTGTGTATTTTTAAATGAAGGGACTTGCATGAAGGAGCAGATTAAGGCTTGTAGGTAATTGAATTGAGCTCTTAAGTTATTGAAATCCATTATGTGGTCACTCCTGAGAACATTATTTGTTGAGTGTACTTTGATAGTTCAAGAACCCCAAGGAGGG